TATTATGAGTAGGGCTGTTACGAACATGTGTGCACAAGTATTTGTCTGAATACCTATTTTTCATTCTTTGGGGTACATACCTAGGAGTGGAATTGCTGCTTCACATGATAAAACTATCTTTACCTTTTTTTCAAAATATCAAATCTTAGTTAATATTAATCTTGAGTGAAGATGAAACTGTTTTCCATTTGCTTTATTTATGGATTTACCTAAGAAAACACTGACAAAAATATTTTGTGCTTAATAAGAATTAGGTAACCTACAGGTCTGTCCTTGGGTTTCTAGAGAGGTATTTACAGGGAAAAAAGTAATGCAGGACTACTTTGAATATTTCTGTGTCTCCACTGTGTCATGTCCAAAGAATTTGTGGCATAGAATTTCATCAACACAGGCATTTAAGTCATCCTTTCCAAGGTAGAGAGAGAATTAGATCAAATTATTCTTTTCCCTTCTCAAATTTCAGTAAAAACCTGTAACAAGATGTAAAGAGTTCGACATCTCTTAGCAACAAGGAAAAGTAGATAGAAACAGAAACAAACAAACAAACAACAACAACAAAAAACAGCATTCTTCAACACAAGTGTACTGTTGGGATTACAACATCTAAAGTTGTGGCCAGTACAAAACAGCTTTTCCTGGACGTTCAAACCTCAGAGGTAACTTCTGCATCAGTATCATCACTTAAGGACTTCGAGTCCTTTAGGTCATCATTTTTTTAACTTTAATAATTTTTTTGTCCCTTACTTTCTCTACTTCCTTGACTTGCTTGCTAAATATAAAGAGCTTCAACTTTTATTTAAACAGCCAATTACTCTGATACTTATTTAGAAAATATGTCATCTATAGTATCTGAAACAATGATAGTATCTATATCTTGAGCCATTACATATAGGTGTATCATCATTTCTTAAATTTCCTAAAAACCCCACCAAGGTTTTTCCTAAAAGCCATCCCATTCCTCAAATCCCAGGTCCAGCCTACATGTCTCATCTTGGGTTAAATTTTCTGTTGAATCTTCATCTTCTCTAGAATTTCTGTGTTTATGCTCTGAGGTAGAAAGTATGGGGATTATTGCCTTCTTTGGATCTTTTTCTGGAATTGGAACTTTCTTTTGTACTTTGCTTCAGTTGGTCTTCGTTTGTAATCCTATGCCAAGAGGGGAAGTCTGTAGTAGTAGTGATTCTTCTTAGCATATCATAGAGAGGGTGTGGATCTTTCTCGGAAGCACTGACATCCTAAAAGTTTTCCCAAAAGATCTCCACCACAGTATACCACATCTGCTCCTACTGATCATAAACTGCTTTACCATTATATATACTGGCCTAGATATAGTACATTACCTCATTATCAGTGAACATTTCTCCTTGGGTATCTGGTCCCTGCAAAATCTTCAAGAGTGGCAGTTTACTGATGAGTTCTAAAGAGAAAGCACTGTCAGATGTTGAATGCTAGGCAGAAGTGGAATATGATGTCATTTTGACAGTGAAGAAATTGCAGTCTATTGATAAAATTTACAACTGCCCCAAGAGTGGCTCCTCTCTGAGCATGGGGGAGGTGGGTGGCAGTTGTAGGTTCTAAGACCTTGGCAGCATTTTGAAATCACCTATCTTAACCTATCATTTAACTTTTTGAGGAACTACCAAAGACATTTTCCAAATATATTTTCCTTAATGGATGAACTATTTTACATGACTGTCAGCAATGTCCAGTGTTCCAATATTTCTATATCCTTATTAATACTTGTTACTTTCCATTTAAAAATTATTATTAGTGCTATCATAACAGTGTGAAGTGATACTTCATTGTGATTTTGGTTTGCATTTCCCTAAGACCTAAATTCCACAATATTCCTGTGCTTGTTCGCCATTTGTATATCTTCTTTGGAAAAAATATAATTTTATGAGAACTGTGACGATAATATTCAACTCGATGCCTCCTGTTTTTGTTAAATTTCTTTTGACTGTATTCCCAGTGTTTGTTCTTATAACAGGAATTGATAAACTGGCCCATGAGCCACATCTAGCCTAATTTTACGTGGCCTGCCAACAGCATCATTTTTATATTTTTTAATTGTTGGGGAAAAAAATCCAAAAGAACATTTCATGATGCATGAAAATTATATGAAATTCAGATTTCAATATATATAAGTAAAATTTTACTGGAATATACAGATATACCCTTTCATTTACACATTGCCTATGACTGTTTTCATGCCAGTGGCAGAGTAATTTTAGGCCTACAGTGCCTAAAATTAATTACTATCTGGCTCTTTACAAAAAATTTACTAATCCTGTATTAAAAGTTTCTCCTTTTTAGCTTCTGATCTTTTCACAGCCCAGAGAGTAATGAGTGGGGAGATCTTAAAATGGATTACTGCTGGTCAGTTTATTTCTCCTGGATAAGCAAACGTTTTTTTTTTTCTCTTGATAGAAAAATTCCAAGGTTACATTTTTAATAATAGAGACCAAATATGAAAGTCCTAAAGTAGCACTTAAATTTTAACTATCATTATCTCTGAGTATCTCACATTAATAAGATTACAACTCTCAAAGCAATTATTTGTGGTTAGAATAAGGGAACTTAATAAAATCACTTCTAAAATCTGCCTTGCCCCCCAATTTTGAAATATTATGATTCTAACATTAACTGTTAGAATTTCATGTTTCTCAGTAGTTGAATAGAAGCATTCCAGAATGTATCTGTGTCCTTCTGTAGCTAAATTATATTTAAAACTTTTTACTGTTTGTAATATAGCATTTTCTTATACTTTAAGCTTCCTTTGACTTGGGGAGGTAGGAGTGGAGTGCTGGGAATTGAACTCAGAGTCTCTGTGCTAAGCAATTTATTTACCCTTGAGCTACATCCCTAACCCAACTTTTTTTTTCTTTTTAATGAGACTTAAAGTTGTTTAAGTATCCAAATTATAGTGGTTTCAATAGTGTGTATTTTGTTAGAAGATTGTTAGTCATAGTCACTAATGTGCCTTTTAAGCACATGCTGACTTAAGGAAATGCCTTTTAGATCAAAGACACAAAGAGGTAAAGAATATTAGGCTCTATCATGCCCCTCCAATTTCTATAATAGTCAAACTGAATGTACCCAAATATTAATCCCATTATGGAAGCTCTCCTTTCTTATGTTATGATAGGATATGTAATTTTATAGCTAAGGGAAACTGAATGTTTAAGAGCAAAGTTCAATTCATTTCTTAAAAAATGACTTCCCATTTTGTAGCTATTGAGTTATAGATGAGATTTCATTAAGGCAATAGCCTCAAAACCGTAAGGGTGCTTTCAAGTAGAAACGAACATTCCCAAATAAGTAGATGCAGTGCTCTTGTCCCTCGAGGCCTTTCACCTCTCAAGCCAACCTAGCTGCTGTGCTTCCCAAATACTTACCTTCTTTGATGAACATGTAAGGCTCTCTTTTGAGTGAAGACATCAACCTCTAGTAGCACCAGGCTAAAATACAAGTCCTGGATATTTATTGCTTTCTGTTTACTACTTGATTGGCAGTTGTTAATGAAGAGCTCATTCTAATAAAGTTACTGTGTTTAAATGTTTGTTATTAGAAGTTGTGGGTCAAGTGCTATTTTATCTTTTTCAGCCCAGTCAAATAAGGAGTTTGTTGTTGTTGCTGCTGCTGTTCAGTTTACCCACATGAGATTTATAGTAGCTCTAATAGTTTTTACTTTTATCATTATCAAGAATTTCAACTCTGCTTTCAACCCAGGGTTACAACTGGATTTATTCATATCCCCAAATCTTATTTTAGTATTTTCTATTACCATATGGCCTGTGTTTATTCTAATATGAAACTGAGGTATTCAGAAATAAGCATAGTTAGATATTGCTTCCAGGTCTTTTAGTCAGCTTTCAAAAACCCTGATGCCCAGGTTGCACTCCATTTCAATTAAATAAAAAAAAAAAATGTCAGCTATCAGTATTTTTTAAAGATCCCCAAGAGATTCCAGTAGGCAGTAAGGTATGGAAACCACTGGCTTTACTTATCAGCCATATAATAGCTTAGAGGTTCTACCTAGTTATATATTTACTCCTTGGGATTAACTAGGTGTTATTATAATGCATTTTAGCTACTTGAAAAAATATGTTATATAAACATATTATAATTATCATAATTGTTACTGTAATTATCTAAACTATAGAGAAACTTGTAGCTCTTCTATATTATAGAAACATGTGCCTGAGCTCAAATTTTTATCCATCTCCTTTTTTGGTCTGATACTAGGGATTGAACACAGGGATACTGTACCACTGAGCTACATCCTAGCCCTTTTAACTTACTTTTTTATTATTATTTTTAAAATTTTGAGACAGTGTCTCATTAAGTCTCCCAGGATGACTTCGAACTTGCAGTTCTTTCTCAGCCTTCTAAGTCCCTGGGATTATGGCATGTGCTGTGGTGCCCTTTCATGCTTAAGGAATCATTCTGTTTCTTAATCTCTGTGAGAGCATGACTTCTTTCTTACATATGGTCAGCTAGGTGTTTTTGTAAGAGTTCAGCTGTGTCAGTAAGTGGGAAATTTTTATGGAGGCAATCTACTTGGGAAAAGTAGCAATTATTTAATATTGCTTTTCTGCAGGCATTACCTTTTCATATTTCCACAACCCAGCCAGCTGTTCTTACAGCATGGAAGAAATGAGTTTTATTTGTATGCTTTTATTTCACTTTGATTCCTTTCACATTTTCCCTTTCTTTTTCATTTATAATAACAAGATAATTGTATTGAAAAGAGGCTTGGCCTTACCACTGAGAAGGAGGGAAATTTTAACTTTGATCTCTTTGGGTTTACAACTGGGCTGCATCAGTATGCTTTAGAGTTATAGGAATGCTCTAAAATTGTGAGTCTGGGGAGAAAATGTAATTTTAGAGCCAATTTTACAGGTGCAACATAGACAAGTTGTTCTAATCTGAAGACTTGTCTATAGAAGTCTATAGTCTGAGAGGCTGAGAGTGAGTAAATAATCCTTTCTTTTTAGATCTTCATCTGCTGGTGGACGTGGCCTGCAAGCAGGAGCACTTTCCAAAGGAGGAAGAATTAAAAGAGTGAGGAATGGATGACAAATGTGACATTGTGCACTAGCCGTAGCTGGAGGCAGACTAGTCTTGCACATGACACACTGTTGGGATTTTTTCAGTTCTGTTAAGGAAAAAAATATTTTTTGTTTTGTTTATTGAGAATTTTGTTAATTGAAAATTGGGAGTTTGGTATTTACTACAACTGTTCAGTTCAGATTGTTTACCTTGACAAACTACTAAACATCTAGCAGCCATTTTTTTTTTTTTTTTTTTTGCTGCCCAGATCCCTTTCAAATGAAAAGTCCTGGCCTTTTATTACAGTGAAGAAGCATCTAAAAACTGCTGCATCTATGGTACTGGAGCATAATGTGTGCGTGCTGAGTTGTCTTGCCACTCTCAAACGATAGTCAGCACAACTCCAATGGGGAGTTCAGTCTATCTGTTTCAAGTCACAGTGTGATCCTTTTATAGAAGATTATGTGAAAAACAAAGACACGTGAGGTCACCGAGATCACAGGTCTAAATGGGTCAGGAATTCCAGGGAAGAAATTCTGGTAAAGAGCTAATTTTCCAAGTGATTAACCAGGAAATTCTCTTACTTCCTAACCTAGCATTCTGTTCCAAGAGCAAGGCATCCGGACTTAGACCATCCATCACACTTAACAACCCCGATTCTTTTATATTAATGAGAGCATTTTTCTATTTTCATATCTTTCTTTAATTTTAATAATACATTGTCATAAATGGTAAGGTTTTGTTAATATCACTTACTTAAATGTCTTCTAAAGAAAAATATTTAAATTGTTTAATGTAATTGTATTCATAAATGCTGGTAGGTTTAAAGGTTTTAAAGCTTTATTTTTATTAATATTGCAGGATAGAAGGATAAAGGATGCATGTGTAATATTTTTATTTTGAAGGGGAATGTACAATGTGTGAACAAAAACATTAAGAGATTTTACATAGTGTTTTCTTATTTTAGATTTTTACATTCAGCAAGTACAAATCCTCATATATGTAAGGTATTGTGTACAAATTTGGGGGAAATCTGATTAGTTGTCATTTACCAGAAGCTGTGCTCCAGTATTTTTTCTGTATATATCTGGTTTGAGCTTCTAAGAGAATTTTAGATAGTGGGATGGACTATAATCCCCTCTATAGGTTTCTACATTTGAGTAGTAGGATTGTGGGACTGTTATGGAGAAGACATCTTAGATGTCCATATTCTGTGGTTGTTCCTTTATTTGCCTGTCCAATGACAGCAAGAACCTTTCTGATTTAGAGTCTTTTAAATTGACTAGAACTTTTCTTACTGTATTATGCCTTAGTTTTCCTAGTAAACAAAAGGAAAGCCTAGGAATATGAAACTAATGAAAAAGGCATTTAGTGATACGACGTAAATACTTTGCTAGACATTGTGGATGTAACAGTTCATTTCTTATATTGCATTGTGCCTTTCCAATGATGTCAAGTCCTAGAAGTATTACAGAGATATGGCTCTTTTGGAAAAGGGTGAGCTCTGTATTGGTCTGCAATGACTCAATTAAGATATGGTAGTAAGTTCTGAAGAGATGTCTGGTTTTTCTGTTGTCCATGTTATGGGCATTTATTCATCTTTATTAGCATGGCTTAAAAGATGGACAAATTATCAAGACATCTACATTTTTTAGCCAGGCAGTATATTTTGGCAGAGTACATGAAGAGGAGACCTTATTTCCTAATGAGAGAACTTTGCTTTTCTCTGTCATATTGAAGAGTTGGTGAAATGTCTTAAGTGATACTCCTTCCCTTCAATATGCCTTTCTTAGCTTTATATATGTTGAAAGAGATAATATTATTTGAGGAACATGTGTCAAGCAGGAACCTTGGCATAGATTTGGTTTCAATGGTTTTAAGGCTTAATTAATGAAATGCCTTGATCAGCCTTCCAAACTTTTTTATATATGTATACAACAGACTAAGGAGCTGGATCTCCTGCTATACTCACATGCCTGGTACCTATCAAATAAAGCTATCATCAATGACTTGGGCAAAATGGCAAGAGGTAAAATAAAATCTTCATGTGAATTAGCCAGTAGGGTCTGACACATGCTAACAAGGTTCCTGACTAGCACCTCAGTATTTCAGCACCTTAAGCACCAATGAATTTCAGTCAACAATAAAGTGAGTGTTCCAACTAGACTTGTGTCTTGCTTGTTTTTCCTGTTTTATTGGTGATAAATAGAAAACTCCATCATTATAATCATTAATTATTCTAGTAAAATTCAAAACAGAACATACTGTGTTTTAAAAGAATCTGATTTTTTAAAATTATCCTGACTTTTTTTCCAATTGCAACTGAAGAAAAAATGAAATAAAAAAAACGAAAAATTTTTAATACCTTTTAAAAAATGTATTCATTTTTATGTGTTGCTGAGGATCGAACCCAGTGCCTTACACATGGGTTCAAGTGTGAAGTAGGCAAATGCTCTACCACTGAGCCACAACCCCACCCCCTAGATATTGAATTTTTAAAATGTCATTAAGTATAAGGACAATTCTTAGATATGTTTTACAGAAATTTAGTTTTCTGGAAAAGGGTGAATAGTCTTAAATAAGTTTGGTCAATTCACACGGATGATGTCTAAAATGCCTCATGTCTAAAATTAGATTGTAGATGTCAGTGAGACAGACTTTTCATTACCACACAAACACCATCTTTACGACATCTCTGAGAAAGTGTTGTAGTCTATCAGCTTTTGAAGAATAACTTTAATTTTGAAGCCAGGGAATAATTTCTCTTGCTTCTCCATCCTGGTGACCTAAATAAATACATGATATCAGTAAAATAAACTTCATAGAGCTGTTTGGCTTGATCCTGCCTATCTCTAGGTCCCCAGTTTCATGATACATATCATTCTCATTTCCAGATATCAAGGTTTCCTCAGAGAAGAGAGTTTGAGGGCACTAGTTACATTTGTAATTTTTTTCAACTGTGTATATTAAACTATTAGATTATTTTCAAGCAGGAAAAAAGGAGTCAAAGTCCATTTGTAGGTAATTATTTTAGTTTACTTTTCAAGATGATTTTATATATGTATCGACTTTCAAGATAATTTTGCATATGTCAGTGATATATAATGATGTGAGTTTCCAGTATTTATGCTGTATAAGTACGTGATGTACATAAAATAAAAAATACACAGTAATAAACTTTTAAATTTTTTCTGTAGCATCCAAACATGGCTGAAGCAGGAGGATCTCAAGTTCAAGCCCAGCCCTATGTGAGACCCTGTCTCAAGATAAAATTTAAAAAGAGCTAGAGATGTAGCTCAGTGATGGAGCATCCTTGGGTTCAATTCCCAGTACCCCTGGACAGACACAAACACACACACACACACACACACACACACACACACACACACACACAATTCTCTTCAGAATTAGAGCTCTTGCTATTTCTTAGGAAAGGAACTGCCAAATATCTCTATTGCATTATGTTCTTAAGGTCCAAAAAGGAAAGGAAAAGTGCTAAATTAAGAATTTATTTTAACTGGATATGTGGCACACACCTCTAATTCCAGCAACTCTGAAGGCTGAAGCAGGAGGATGGCAAGTTCAAGACCAGCTTCAGCAACTTAGTGAGACCCTGTCTCAGAGTAAAAAATTAAAAGGGCTGGAGATGTAACTCAGTGAAAGAGTGCTCTTGGACTCAATCCCTAGTACTAAAAACAAAAATATCTACTTTTTGAACTTACCTCTGTTCCAAACTAGTTATTAGGTCTAAAATTCTGAAACCATTTTCATAAACCTTCTAGCAGAAGAACATGCAAGTTAAATAGGCCACTTACACTTCTTGTTTTTAGAGGCATGTCGTTTAATCTTTATAACAAACCTACAATGCAATTATTATCCACATTTTATAGATGACTAAACAGGGTCATTTGTATATGAGGTAAAGAATATAAGATTTATCATAACTTTTTTAAGTGTATACAGTTCAGTAGAGTTAACTGTATTCCCATTGTTGTTGTTGATAAAATTTTGAAAGTTTTTGTCAGCAGTCCAAAAATATAATGTTTGATTAACATCAAATATAATCTGATAAACTTGAAAATTTAAATATTAGAAGCATGTTAGAAACTTTGGCATTATTTCTAATGGCAAGGTTACTATATAAGGGTTATAGTTGATGAATGTGGTAATTAACTGAAAATTAGTGGGGTTTTGCCCACATTCTTCTCATTTAAGCATATTTTACCTTTAGTGTGTATTAATGATAGACTTTCTTGTAATCTTACACTGAGAGCAGAGGTCTGATCTATAGTAGTATTTCACTTTGAAGAGATGCGAGAAGGAAATAACAGTTGGATTCCAGATCTCTGACATCAGCCTAATCTGAAAGCTTCATACAGGCATAGTTTAGACAGAGCTACTGAATTTGAATTAGTAAGAGCAAAGAAAAACTATGCATATAGTGGGCAGAATCCTTCCCTGTGTAGCAGATCTAAGCAGCAATAAATCAGTAAGTACTATAGTATAGGATCACTTTATTCTGGCTTTGTGCCATTTGTAGACACTAAAACCCGGAAAGACCAGAAATCCCTTTGAACTTATATTTGAAAAACCTTGTGTCCATTCTTTTATCTTTTGGAGTTCTTTTATTTTTTCTGTTTATTTCCTCATACCACTGCCTGTTGGGTGCAGAATCTGCTTGGATATATTCCAGCGGCCTCAGCTTACATGTGGTAACTTGCTTACCCAGAGAAAGGTCTGGAGGACTGAATTGGATGCAGTTGGGCTGTGGCTCACTAGAGGGAGCAGAGGACCCGAGAGAGGAGAGAGGGAGAGAACGTGTCTGGTTAAGTGTGGTGTGTGCGCACCAGGAGGAGGAGGGCCGGGTGGGGGTGGCTGCCTTTAACTGCTCCACCCTCACTTTGTCAGCAGGTAGAGAGCGTGATTGCAGTCCTAGGGGAGGGAGTCAGAAGTAGAACACCAATTACAAACCACAGGAGGCTTCCTGCTCTAGGGAGTTGATCCAGAGTTGTCTTTCTGAAAAGGAAGCACTCGAATCCTTCCGAACTTTCCAAGTCCATCCATGATTCAGAGATATTGCCTTCTCTCTCTGGGATTTTCTGTTTCTGGTAGTGAATTGTTGCTGATGTATTTGCTACTTGTGCCTCTTTTCTCTTTCAAGATTTGATTATTTAATGTGCTGTTCGGAGAGAAAAAGAACTTTTGTTAGAAAGGAGATTTCAGAAGTGATTTTGGATCGTCTATAAGTGTTTTTAGAGTTCTTGGGGACAGTAGCTCTCACCCTGGAATAAGTTTCTGCCTTTGATCTGCATGGATTATTTTTTCAGACTGCGGAATTTCTCGTCACCTACCTGTAGTATGGGGCACTTGGTTTGGTTGCAGAGTAAGAAGGTGGAAGAATGAGCTGTACTTGGTTAAGCAGTTCAAACCTTTTTTGAGCAAGATCTATAAAAGCATAATTGAATTTGTCACCCCCGTGGATTCCAGTGGGCCCAACAGCGCAACAGGTTTGCAGATTTCTTTTGAAATTCTTTTTTTTTTTCTCCCTTTGCCTCAGAAAAAGAAAAAAAAATCTCTATAGTAGGTTCATATTCAGTTGCTCAGCTTTTCAGCACTTATTTTGAAGACTTTATATGATTTTTAAACTTGACCCTGGAACACAACGGGCTTTGTGGGTGAAGTGCACTTATGTTTACTTAAAGGTGCACATTTAAAAACCTTATTCTGTGTTTATCCAAAGCCCCCAATTCGTATATGTGCTTACAAATAGCACAGATCTACCCAGGCTTCATTGTATTTTTTTCAGGGTGTTCTACTTAAAGCCTGTGACTAATCACCTTCCTAATCCCCCTATCTTTTATTCCCCACCCCCTCAAGGAATTTGAAAACGTGTTAGGAATAGTCCTTTGTTTTTCTTATGAACTTAGAAAATTACAGATTATAAAATCTGGATATTAGTTTACCAAAGCATCTCATGGGAAATCAAAGTGCTTGGCATTCCCAAGCTGGAGAGTAAAATTTGGAATCCCTAAGAGAGAAACGAAAATGGAGATAGAAATATGAACTTTAACTGGGAAAGACAGTTGGAAACTATACCCTTTTCATATATTCTAATTTTCAAAGTTAGAAAAGGTTGTGATGTTCAGGATTATCCATAATGTGTGAGGATATATAAATTAGCACCTAATTTATAGGCAACTTTAAGAAAACCCCCCAAATTATAGTATGTCCAAGTTTATGAAAAATATTTAAATTTAATGGACCTAGAACTTTGGGCTACAGTGAAATTCAGTTTAACATGGAAACTTCTCTGTGTGCTGTAGTATCTTTGGACATCCCTCAAGGTGTGGCGTGAATTTTTTTATCATTCCGTCTCTTCCCCTATTAAAAAACAAATCTCCTGTGGTCTTTAATTATTTACAGTTGACACATTTTGTGGCTTAAAAGGGCCACCTCTCCATTGTCTAAGCTGGAGTTCTTCACTCTCACCTTTGATGCATGGCCTTAGCTGTTTACTTTGTCTTGTTTTGTTCATCAACATTGGGGTTAGTTGGTCGACAACTTGATGCATATGGAAGACCAACATCAAGTGATCTGACATAATAAAAATTCATAATGTGACGTTCAATTTCAAGCAAAGTTGGAAATTCCAAAAAGAAGTGGTGGTTTCTTTGCTAGTCAGAGTGAAAATGGAAGAAAATGACATACCTGCTGCAGAAGTGGGCTGAAAACAATCTTCTCTGCCCAATCAGGAATGCCACCTGTTCTTGGGAATATACTCTAGAGAAAGGAAGGGTCAAAACTGTGACTTGGCTTTCAGAAACAGAAGCATAAATTTTCTCTTCCTGCATTTGTCTGGATCTGAGAACCTGCACTTGGTGTTAGCCAGTGGAAGCAGTATGTATGGCCGAAGTGCATTGCTGCAGCTGGTAGCATGAGTGGTGGCCACCAGCTGCAGCTGGCTGCCCTCTGGCCCTGGCTGCTGATGGCTACCCTGCAGGCAGGCTTTGGACGCACAGGACTGGTACTGGCAACAGCGGTGGAGTCTGAAAGATCAGCAGAGCAGAAAGCTATTATCAGAGTAATCCCCTTGAAAATGGACCCCACAGGAAAACTGAATCTCACTTTGGAAGGTGTGTTTGCTGGTGTTGCTGAAATAACTCCAGCAGAAGGAAAATTAATGCAGGCAAGTATAATTTTATTATATTTCACTTTCCATCTGTTTGAAACATGCCTTTCTTCTTTTGTCTCCCAAACCAAATACCATACAAGGGCTTCTGCTGCTAAGCTTTCTGTTTGTTCCATCTTTTAAGGATATTGCCTTGTTGGCATTCTAAAGCAAATTATTTTATGCTCAAGAAGAAATACATAAATTCTATATTTTATAAGATTATTTGTTTATTTTTAACTGGTATTGCATTGCTTTTTTAGAATCACATAATAAAACCTTCCTTCATAAGTCATATATTCTGGGTACTATTTTTTTGATAAATGAAATATATGGGCTTATATTTAATTGATCTCGGGATTATAGTTGACTTCCTGTTAAAAATCTGAATTGAGCACTAAGGAGGTTGATTTTAATGGTCAGCAGCACCCTGAAATTCTAGACTGCCCTTGAAGCATATTTGAATATAGTGTCACTTTTAAAATTCAGTCAAGCTTGAATGGTACGACTGGCTTTATACCACGTGTGGCACCCTATTGCTAAGCCCAAAATGGAGAGGACTGGATTACAAAATGGACACAAAGTGTAAACCTGTTTCCTGATCCCTTTGGTCTTATCCACACATGATTTTATCATTTTCTAAATTTTAACATCTGTCTTTTTCTTGACCCACAAAGTTTTTTCAGACACAGTTACTTAGGCTTTCGGATTGTGAATTTTGCCTGTAACTCATTCACAACTAACTATTCCTTATGTGTCGAATTTATGAACTGACTGAGGCCATAGCTTTTCATAGCCAATTCTCATTCCCTTTGGTGAAAACAGAGCTTAGTGGGGCTGTATCTTTTTAATGGGCATTCTCTTGTCTTATTCCATAAAATGGTGTTGCTGATTGATAAAAGCATATAATTTTATAAAATGACACTTTTTGCTGTAGCTCTTTGGACACAGGTTAAAATGTCCTTAAATATGATCAATCTCAGCATTCAGCTCAGATTTTTAATTTTATGATTATGTATGGACTATAAACAGAACCAAAGTATTATATGAATTTAAGTTTTCATTTACTTAGAAAAAGAAGGTAGGAAAACAAAAAAAATTATAGAATTCTTTTCCAAACTCAAGTTTTTTAAATATATGGTTTGATAGTTCTTCCTTATACTTCTTTGGCAGTATTTTAAAGCTGGGAAAATTATTTAGAAGAAGAAATGGGTAAAATGGATGGTTCTAGTATTCAGAAAAATAATCAGGAAAGAAGAGTATATCTGAAAAAAATGGTGTTAAAATTTTTTGGTTAAAAAGTCAGTCATTTAATTTAGATTCTAGAATGAAACTGGGAATACTTAAAAATTGAAATAAGAAATCATTTAGAATGTAACCATTGATTGGAAAGGAAACTTCCTTACTTTGCCTCCTTAATATCCTGACGCATGAAGTATATGTTCAATTTTAACCTTTAGCATAAATAATTTTCTTTAAAGTCACATTTTTATATCTCTGAAGTCTTGGGAACTTTGTGCCTTATGCCCTTTTGATAGCATGTTCAATTGATTATAGGCTGCTTAAACTAGTTTTCTCTTTTATTTTAAACTTCTTATCTTCTATTATAATAGAGCTCTACATAAAACTTCTGTTTTTTTTTTTTTTAAATAAAGGAACAGGTAAATGAGAAGCACCAGTTGGCATTCTGTTTGCTTTCCTTTTTTATTTTATCAATCTGTATATCCTCTCTTATTTTGCCCTTTTTCTACTCCAGCAAATATTGCTGATCTTGTTTTTTTTTTTTCTTCTAACTATGACACTCTCAGTATACTTTAAGTATTACAGTATTGCTTCTTTACTTTCTAAGGAGGGAATTTCACTGTGTTTTAGCAAGGACCTTCAGATTTTATCCTGGACAGTTATACATCAGCAGCAATTTTAAGTCTTTACCTTTTCTGTCCATTCTGACCGCTTATGGTCATTAATAAATTTTATGCTATCCTAAAATTAGTCTCTGGACACATTCAGAATTGGTACTGGTTTATTGCATGTTAATCAGTTGTTTAGTACTAGTCCTGGTTTATTGTGTGTTCATCAATTTTTAATCCACACCAGTTACTAAATTTTCTTAATTGCATTTTATGAGAAACTTTATTTTTAAAAAACAGAGAGTAACCTTGTGTATTGTATACATTGTTTTTTCTTTATCTACCATTTGATTAACTATTTCAAAGAACTCTAGTGTGTTGGGGACACATGGTTTACACTTCCAGAATCTGTGCTGTTTGTTCCTTATCAGATTACATGCAACTCAGGTTTACTCAACTGTGGTTAACCAGGCCTTCCATTTAACTGAAGATCCGTTTATATCTTCTACATTTGTGCTTTGTAGCACTTTGGCTTTCTTGATGAATAGCTATACCCTAATGTCACAAATATAAAGATAGTCTTCTATATTGACTTTGAGAAATTTCGGATAATTCTGTATATCCTCCTACCTACAAATTATTCTAGCTGCCTGTTAAAATTAGTCATCTCCAAAGACAGGGTCAGATCTTTGTAAAATTGGGGTGTCATGTGCTATAAAACTGAAAGGTATGAAAACAGTAATTAAAAAAAAAGAATTAAAAAAAATTTTAAAAGGATAACATTGTGGTTTTGGGACTTCACCGAGAGTTTCTGAAAATCAAACTTTATATTTTGCTCGGTTAATTCAGGGTATGTATCTCACAGGGACCAAATTAACTGGATTTTCATTTATATTAAATTTTAACTTTTCTTAGACAAAGACTGTGCTTCCAATTTAATAATAAAGTAGACTGCAGAGGGCTGGGGTTGTGGCTCAGTGTAGAGCGCTTGCCTAACATACATGAGGCACTGGCTTCAATCCGCAGCACCACAAAATAAATAAATAAATACATAAATAAATAAATAGACTGTAGAATTGGCTCTAAAATAATTTGTCTCAACTTTATCTGATGGCTGTACATACAAGAGCATTGAAAGCCAAGAATTGATTAATTTTCCCCCTGATTCTTATCCTTCACCCTGTGTGCTAGGATTTTTCTTTGCCAACAATACTCTCCATTTTATAAGGTGTAAGTTTTAAATATTGATATTCTTCTAAAAGTACTAAAATTCAAATGAAAGAGGAATGTTGCCTTTATTGTATGTTTTTCTATTTCTGAATCTTCTCTTTTCCATGCAAAAACTCCCTATCTTAGTCTTAACCAAATTGTGTTACTTTCTATTTTGCCGGAAAGCTTTTTCTTCACTTTACTATATCATTTCAAATCTCTGAGCTGGTTTACTGTTGTCTTTAAAGTGTCTAATTCATAGATTTCCCTTACATTTGCCAAAATCTTTGTTCCTTCCTCTTCTTTAATTTCTTTCTACCTTTCTTTCCTTTTATTTTCCACTCAATTTGTATATTTAGGATAGCCTTCCCCTGCTAGTATTTCTCTTACTAGTCATCAAAAAAACAGGACAAGAAAATGTTCCTCATCTCCTACTTTCTTGGTGGTGTCTGATAAAAAGGATGACATGATAGTGATTACAACTGCTTACTATTTTTATGTTCATTTGAATATTTTTTCCTTTTTTATACTGAAGAAGGAAAACATACTTTGTCTCATTTCCAGTTTTTTGAGTTGTTTACCTTTTACCAATGTTTGTTCTATTATTTCTAGTAATGTTGCTACAATTTCCAAAAATTGTTGTAGTCATTTATTCTTTATTAAGTATTATTTAGAAGGACAATGCAAAATTAATCTCCTTTCTTCTTAGACTAAAAACGAAGAGGATCCTAGTATAGCCCAACAGAGGTCACCAACTCTGTAACTATCGCATTCTTCCTGCTCAGCTGGTTGTCCTGGATTTTCTTAGACTCCAGGATAAAGTTATGATCAAGATTAGAATGTACTGCCCTGGGGCTGGCGACCTACAGTGGGAGCAGGGTGGTTTCACGTTTGGCCAGGAGCAATAAACAACTCCTCCTGGACAAATTCCCTTTGCAAGATGTCTCTGCTTGCCTCTTAATTTTACTTATTAGTTAATGCATAATTATCACATCTTTGAATTTTTACTTTATTTGTAGTCAGGCCTTGAAACTTTTAAATTAAATTTTTAAATTTTGGACCAGAGTTAGATAATCCTGTGTAGCAAAGTATAATTGATAAAATAGCTAAACTGCAATTCAAAGTTTTTGACTTTCAGTTCTGACCTAGACATTAAATAGTTGTGTGATTTGTGAAAAAATAGTTTTTACCTTTCTAGGTTTTAGATTCCTTGCCTGTGATATTAAGAGATTGAAACCTAAATAGCTACCAAACTGATTCTATGTACTCTACATGTTTTAGCTCTCTAGATTTTTATAACTTCATGATAGAAAAAGTTCAGTGCTTTTCATTTCCACATTTTACAGATAAGGAAACTGAGGACTTAAGTGTTAATATTTGTCAAAGCATTAACTAATATTTGCAAGAAAGTGGTATAGCTGCAACTCAAACTGCAGAACCCATGGTTTTCCAGCTCTCAGTTTCTATACATCTAAGAATGTCACAGGTGACTAGAACACCAGAGTAGGTTTTATATAATTAGTTCCAAAGTAGAAAGGAATGAAAGTGATGTGTACCATTGTCTGAGTTGATCCAGAATACACAGCATCCTGCTACCTTCTAAAAATCTCCATTTCTTCTATTTTTTTCTCATTTGGTATTTCATTTCCACAGATATGAGCAAATCAGAATCTTTATTCAGTATCTACATTTGATTAACTTTCTCTTCGTTTTAAAACAGCCTACGATGACTACTAAAAGAGGAACTTGAAATAATAAACTCTGAAAATAGCATGTATTTAATTGGCATTGCTCAAGTTAGAGTTCCTTGGATGCAGATTTCAGAGTGATTTTGCGATTTTACTTTGATGCCAGCCTTTAAAAGAAGTATAGAATAAATATTGAAGATATAGTCAACTCACAGTTATGTTAATGGAGGTGCAGAGAATCCAATTAATTGCCAATTGACTTTGGAATGTA